TGGTATAGGTATTATTATATTTACGCATATAGTAGGTAGGTAAGAGTATTAGGTGGGTATATTTTTTTCTTCTTTTCGCGATATCTTAACGACATTAACTGTGAAAAAAAATAAAGGCCACGTGAACCGTTTATTAAGTACCGCAACGCGTATAATGTAGATATTATCTATACGCGATGAATAAAATTATATTCAAATATTCGAACCATGTGTGTAAAGGAAATCTATACATTTTCAAACGAAGTGGTTAATAGTACGTGCCAAATTATAATAAACGGGAGCCGCCAAGGTGTGTGTTTCTAGGATGGGCGCAAAACGCGTTTTTTCTCTCTCTTTCTTTTTCGTGAAGATATATTAGACATAATTGTCTGCGCATTAACGGCGGAGTGAAAACGCGGCGTATCAATACCTACATACCTACTTATTAAATTATTTCATACATCGGTTGTACGACCAACATCGTTGTACAGGTTGTCGGAATAGACTGTTGCACGCTACGCATATTATGATATTATACTGAGTAATTCTTTTATCAAACAACACTCATCATTTCAAAATCTATTGACTTTTTTGAAAATATATTTATTTTTTAATAATTTCCATTAAAATTAAAACAACACTTTTTAATATTTCTTATAGTAATAATTTTTTTATTCTTTTTTATGACAACATACGTATTTAACCGGGTATCCCCGTACCACTCCACTCAGCTCACCTAAACTTTAAATACTTATAAAGTATAACTCATAAGTCATAAGCAACTCATCTAAATTTCGATTTTATGTAATGAAAAACTCCGAAAAATATTCTGTTTCAGAATATAAAATCAAAAATGTATGTTATCGTTCAAAAAAGTAAAAATAATTTAAAAAATAATTACAACAAAAATGTTGGAAAGTATGATTGTTTTAAAAAAATATTTTCAAAAACGCTTATAAGTTTTGAAACAATGTGCGTTACTCGATAAATGAATCACTCGGTATAATATTTTATTTCAACAATAATAATCATCATCATAATATATTTTAATATCCATTAATCGAACATATTATCTACTGCGATTCTGATCGAAGAATTTTATTTATATATATCAAATATATGTGTATAATTGTATAATAAGCGATGTGTACTCACGCGCGTATACCAAAACTTCTTCTCGATTGCATTACAAATCGTAATGGTTATACGTCTAATTATCTCGTATATTATAATGTATAGTTACGAGTTTTGAACGACGGCGAAATTCACGCAAATAATATAATGATAATCACAATATTATTATAATAATATACTGCAGGTGTACAAGGTTGTAATAATACGGTTTGACCTTCGCCTTATTACCTGACTATATTACGCTTTTAAGCCACGACACCACTATACGTAGTACACACTACTGTTATGGTGCGGTAGTAGTAGGCATACACCCCGTACGAATTGACAGCTCGTACGTATAACATATTATACCTGGTTTAACGAGATTCTGGTTAGACGAATTTGATTTATCCGTAGGCCGCCGGGGCGGCGGTCAGCATCGCCGTCGGTCGTCGGCTTTCTGACATACAAACGAGCCGGCGATCGCGATTCAACATAATTATATATATATATATGTAGCTATCAATTACAACTGTATAGTTATAGGTACCACATCATATACAGTGGCTACATGTTACATAGGTACGTATATATACGCACGCACGGAGATTATTATATATGACGTGACGGCGATGTAGGGAAGCAGCACACGCTAGCCGTTAACGAATATGTGCCGCGGCAGATTAATTACATTATTATAATGCGCACAAGTTATCGAATACAATACAATAAAAATATGTAAAGAGCGAAATTTCGAATCGATTACGCACCGTATATTCACAGTAATAATAGTATATAATAAATTATACGAAGTTACAGGACTACTGCAGTATAAAATATAAGGATGTACAAATAATAGGTACGCGTGCATATATTCACGTGTAGTATGCAATAATACGATTGGACACGACAATTATTCAAAACGTAGGTTTTGTCCGAAATTGTCGGTTATAAGCTGTACATATCAAATCGAAAAACAGCCGAGAAGCGATTGGTGATTTTTTGAAAACGCACTATGTTCATGTTAGGTATACCAAATACGTGGAAACAAGACAACGAATAAATAGTTAAAAATTTTAATCTCAAAAATATTTTTAAATAAGCTGATTACGGTTTTTCGAGTAGGGGATACATGTTACACAATATAATATTATAGATATGCTCGAAACAATTTTATTCCATTTCTATATAATTGATAATTGGACAATTATACATTTTGGATTGTCGCTCCACGTATACATATATAAATATATATATATTATTAATATGTATATAATATAATATATGTGTACAAACGGTAATAAAGTCCGATACGTGTGCGTACACGTGTTTGTACAGATTTCAATAGTCGGTGGATGTGCAGCGCGTGTTTATCGGACTGGTTAATGTATATATGCAGCATGGAAGTGTATTCGGGTAAAAAAAAATTCACGATAACGAAACCGAGACGGGTTTGACGTCCGTATATTTTTAACCATGCGACATGCATATATTATATACATATAGTATTAAAATTATTTTAATCACATCGTAGGTCATACATTAGTGATAACTGATAATAGTTCACGAGAGTCATAATAATATAAAACCCATACGAGAATTTTGTTTTCCCCCAGCTGCAAAGCGCAGTCCAAGTCGGCCGGGCGGCGCGAACGTAAAATAATTATCGCTGTACACGAGATATAAATTACATGTTTTTGTTTGTGATCTCGTACGAAAACGAATAGGTATACGTAAAATACATTATATTATGTGCACGCGGTGCTGCTAGGGCCTACCGTATTTTCCAAAAAGGACGGCGCGTTTTGACCTTACCCAACAGTTTTTTAGAGGTCACAATAAATTATTAATATTATCATATTCGATTTCGTTATTATTATGTTTGCATGTCGTGTTACGCGCGTAAAACTGCTTATACGACGACGTCGAGACGGCGCACCGAACAGAACTCATTAAATCACAAATAATCATAATAAATAATAATAATAACGCGGGTAATAAACAACGAAAATGCCAAGTTGCCGATCGTGTAGTACGTTTTTTATTTTTTTTTATTATCACACGAGTTCACCGTAGAATTACACGGGCGTGTGTTCGAAAAGAAAGGAAAAAACGGATAATACACATGTTTTCGGGTGTAGGTACGTTTACGGATTAATGTATACATATTACGTAATAACAACAAACCTCGTGCACAATACGCGAAAACCAGAAATCGAGCGACCAATGCTAATATTATTATAATTTATAATAATGCACGCATTGCGTAGGCGTCGTAAGACAGACCGCGGGGTCAGACTGGTCAGAGCGATCGCGAATCGTACAATACTATACCGCGGTCATTGGGTGGCAACGAGGTCATGCACGCGTAGTATAATAATAATAATAATAATAATAATAAATAATGACGTACTCGGGCTGCAGATACGAGCAATTACAACAACGGCGAGGGTGGCGGCGGCACCGGTGACAGTGGGACACAACGACGCACAAACGTCGAAATCATCCCTGTAAACAGTGTAAACGGTAACAGTAATGACAATACATATTACAGTTTTCAACGATACCGTAGTATGCGAAGACGTGCGTCTTTCTCAGCGTTACCCATCGTCTACGACACAACTAGAGAGGTGCAAAAGGGTCTTTAGCACCCCTAGTTCAAATTTAGCAACCCTTTTGTTTTTAAGCCCGACTCAAAATGTGAAACATCATGGCTCTGTGTGGCATTTACAATTTTAACACCCCACCTTTTTGAGGTCTAGTTGCGCCTATGCGGCCGTCGTGTTTTATTGTGCGTGTAAGCGGGCGATCTCGCGCCGCACATCACAAGCCCAGCGTAACGCATCTGGGTCCGGCCGAAAAAGGGTTACGGTAAATCTCACCCGGAGTGCCACCGCCTATACCGCGGTAACCTGACCCGAGTCGAAACACGCTCCGGCGTACGGGCACAGCCGTAACGACGACACGTAAAATCGTCGTGTAGAGTCGTCGCGCGTGTCTAACGTCGGACCGCGATAACCCCGTGACGTGTATTCGATACGAAGCTCTTGTGACTGACTATAGGTATATAATAATATAACGGTAACGCAATCGCGCAGTACCCGCGATATTGCACGTGTATACACCTATATTTGCACCGCAGGGGCGGGTGACAAGAGGCCCGATATTCGAGGTCGACCAAACCGAAACCCGTGCGAACGTGTCGCAAAACGGTCGCAGTGAAAACGATGGATAACAAAAAAAAAAAAAAATCGTCCAGCTCACCATCCATATAAAACGCAATCATAAAAGAAAACGACGACGACGACGACGACGCCGCAATATCACGGCCATTATATTATTATACCTACGTATACACCCACGGAATGGATATCTCGAGAAGGAGACGCGGGGGTACAAAAGAAAACAACGATCCGGCGTGTTGCACTTACGGTATTGTGCTGCAGGTCCGAACGGGTCCGCGACGGCCGCGTATACGCATTACGTATATTGTACATATACATAATACATAACGAACGAGGGATGAAAAAACCCCTTGCAAACGCGATACATACATATATATATATAATAACGTATGATATAATAATATGCGCGTACAACAATAATAATAAAATATATTAAATCACGTGCGGGCGGAGGGAGTTCTGCGGCGGTCACGGGCGAAGGCGTAGCGCGGGGTCGATTCGGGCGCGAGCGCGCAGGTGCAGTTTGTGCGGGCCGCGAGGGTCGTCCGCAGCGCCGCCGCCGCCGCTCCGTTCGCCATCTGCCGCGTTCTCCGCCATGGGATCGCGAGAATCCGACGTTTCTCACGGTCCCGTCCGCGTGCGCGTTCGAGACCACTGCACGGCGACGCATCTGCCGACACCTGCCCCCGGTCGCCGAGCCCCTATAAAAGAGCCGGTCGCCCGTTCGGCGGGCAACAGTACACCGTCGTACGGCATACCGAGCACATCAACGCGTCGTCGCCCTCTCGTTATCACTTGCATACCACCGATATCTCATCAGTGTTATCGCCGTCGTTCGTGCGCTATCATATATATAAATTATCCGCAATATTTACTCTTCCGGATATTTACTCACACCTATAACCGTGATAAAATGGCTTATCTGTCAAACAGTTTCGACTTCGAACACATGCAAAACTCGACCAACTGGGAGGCCGTCCACAAGAAACGGTCTTTCGTCGCCCGAAAAATACACAAAATCAACAAGGTAAGCGTCGACCGTTTTCATAACGTTTTAGTAGTAATATTTCATACATATTGTAGTATATTATCTGATAATATACCGCCTACACGTCTCTGTACCGTCAACCCGTCTAACGGAATTTTTTTTCTCTTCTGTTTACAGACTATCAAACCGATACTGAGAGCGTTGTGCCGCCGGAACGCTGTGACCCCGGCCGCCCAACAAGACGGTTCGGCCCTGGACCCGCGGGGCCTGTCGCCCGAAGAATTGGAAAACTTGCAAAACGAATACATCGAGCGCAAGCTGTCGCAAGCGGTCGTCTACGACGAAGACGATTACTATTCGGACACGATCAGCGTCGAGTCCGGTCTGGGCATGTCTTTCGAAGAGCTCAGCCGTCCCGTCGATCGCAGGCAGCTCGTCTCCCTGTTGCCAGAAGCCCGGTTCTACATGTCTCGTGATTTCTGGTTCGAATCCGACAACCGCACCGCCGGCCGACCATCGTTCACCAGACAACAGACGCCCCAAAGGCAGCAGCCGTGCAGGTACTAAGCGCGTCGAGTCGCCCTCGTCGTCCGTCTCGTCCGTCCGCACCCGAAAGTCTTTCACGTTTTGCTCAAAACTCAAATCTCTCTACATATATATATTATATATTACACTATACATATTACATGTACATAATGTGTGTGAGTGTGAATTTTTTATTTTTATTTTATATTTTTGTGGTATTTATAATACTGGGATCTCTAAACAGTGAAAACCATTTTTACCACCTATAATCGTGTTCATATGATAATATATTATATATTGATCGCATTATTGATCATATCGATCGGCGAATATATAATATTTATACATACATATATATATATATATATATATGTATTATTAGATTTAATTTTGTTTGTATGATATATATTTTATCGTCTTGCGATTCTTTACTTACATACTGATTATCATTAAAATATTTAGAATTTTTTTTTTATATACTTAAGACTTTTAACAAATATATTTTTATTTTTTATTTAAAAAAAAAAAATATTTGTACAATAACGTATTACGAATTTGTATGTATATAAAACGCTGTCGTATGCATTATTATATATTTGTGATAAATAATTGTTTTTTCAACAGCGATTCTGTGATTGAATTTTAATAGCTGCAGTTATCTACAACGGACTGTAGTTGTTGACTGATAATGTTTATATTATATTATTATATTGTGTTCCTTTGTTATAAATAAAATTGAAAAAAATCAATTGATATTAAACACGTTGTTGTCTATATTAAATAGTAGTTACTACCGGCGCCCGTGCAGTGCGGATCATTCCTATTACAGTTCATATTTTTTGTATAATTATTATTATTATTGTCGAGTTTACTATACATAACGGTGTATATACAAGTAATAAGTATACTTTGTAAATACTCGACTACTTTAGCATATAAATATTGTGGTATATAATGTACACTGTGTATATAAAACGTATATAATATACACGCCATACAGATATTATTATCATAATATAAATATATGGCATTATAGCTATAATAGTAGTTACATGCGCTGTGCAAGAGGACATCGTTAAAGCCGGATCAGAATATTATTTGACTATCATTACCGGTGTATTCGTCGAATATTTTAATGAGTGTACAATGACGCGTGCAGCAGTCGTTTGGTATTGAAATTCATATGGGTATATCATATATTATTATAAATTATAATGTCGACCAAACACAGTACCTACTGTGGGTACAAGGTATAATACACACGACGTATACTGGCAGGTATAAAATATTACTATGCATTACAACACACTCAACACAGGTATACCACGCGCCGCACGTCGGCTGTACCTATGTATCGTGATTTTTTTTTTTTATTCTATATTTATATGTTTGTCGCGACATATAGGTGACAAAACGCGTCTGTGTAAATTCGACGACTAGACAGTATAATTTTATTTTATTGTTTATCATTAATCACGGTTATCATCACCGTGTTCCGAATCAGCAACAGAGGTTAAACGTTGTTGTCAAAATCGTATTTCGCTATTTCACCTGTATGGCTGTATAACATGACCAAAATACACGCTTTGATACCTGATACCAAAACAAACATTCCGCGGTCGTGTGAGTCTAGACGTCGCAGTGTCCCGATTAGGCAATAATTTGGCTACATAGACAATCGCCTATTATACTACGACTACGATTTATTATTATTTTATAACGTAGTAGGTACATTGCGATATAATAATATTATGTATGATCGATTTTGCCAACACAAACTAACGTACGCGTAAGGCATTCATGGCAACGGTATCCGATAACAGTCGGTCAGGGGGCGTTTGAAAAACGAATGTTAATGTTGTTGCCGAGGAATATTTAACAACGCATTAATTTTTTTTTTTAATTCAAATAATATGCGAAAAATCATCGTCGATTGTTGTACTGTATATGTATACATAGAATACTGTATTATTATTATTTATTGTTATTAATATAAATTATAATATACAAACGCTGTCGTTTTGGGACATCGATAACATTGTAAAATAGATTTTAAAGATATCGCTAAAATTATTGTCGTGTTTACAAAAATCATTGGTATAATTTTGCGAACAATCAAATTTGTTATGTACATTCATAAATAAATAAATTAACAACGGTATTTTGATTATGAGATTAGGGGGGATTTGGGATACGAACCATATTGTGAAGTGTCATTACCTTTCTTAGAATTATGTTTTTACAATTTAGTTAATAATAAAACGCCTCACACGCATTTATAATAATATTACGATTAAATACTTGTAATAATAATGTAACAGTCGTTATAAATTAATTACGTATTTGAATCACTAGTTTTTTTAAACTAATTCTTCGAATAAAAATACAACTTCTATATTTAAATACATTCATGGGGTAAAAACAAAATTTAGAATATAATATTCAATACTTTTTAACCAAATAGTCACAATGTTACATTTAAGCAATATATCATAAATAATTATCGAGGAACAATATTATACTCTATATTGGTGTTATGTAACCATAAGTCATATAACTTAATGTGAAGTTATAGGTATATTTATTCATTCATGAATTTAACTAGAGAAAAATATCTTTATATATTTAATTTTTATTTGCCTAAACTGTAGATAAGAATAAAAAGAATTAAACAAATGTAATTTATTCATAATTTACATTATGAATATTTTAATCTATAAAATATAAGCCAAATAAAAAAATGTTCATGAGAGGGGGTGAATCACCAAAACCCATCATGTCACCACCAGTGTGATATTTCGTCATTTGAACATTCATCACGTGGATTTAATTTAATTATTAAGTGTTTATATATTATTAGTATTAATTATTATATAATATTCTTTTCGTTTTAGATTGTAGGCATCATTGTCTGCTATACATATAAGCATTGATTATAAATATTTATAATCAATGGTATTACGTATTATATTAATTTATAATCGAGATTTGACCTGTTTATGTCTCTGTACAAAAATTTGAAAATACGTTATTGAATAATGAACTCTTTAAAAGTATATTACAAAGTCTTCAATTTTTAGTTCGATCAAACCGATATTTTAATTTAAAAAAGGTTACCAAAACTATAAGGTATATGTATGTAAATATTATTCAATAAAAAGTCATAAGCTTAAAGACTTTTTCGTACATATATAAATATACAATAAGTGAAAAATAATCTTATTATTACATAAATGGCAAATTTTTAGTGTTTTGATAATAACGTATAGGTAGGCAATATCAATAATTGCTAATATATATTAAACTTGACTATATTATACCTACTGAAATCATAATCGCATATAATATATACTTAATATCAAAATTATTATATATGTATATTGCTTACGTCAGTACAGTAATAGATAATAAATGGAAAATCAAAAACTGCACGTGGGCTTATAAGAGCGACAAAAAATAGTAGGTATACGTCCGTTTTTATATTATTTCTTTTTTTTCCTAATTCGATCCCTTATCGCATTTGAAATAAGTGGAATGTCGGGATGTTATCTTCTTTTTAAATTTAATTTCATAAAATAATTTTAAAAAACACGTGGTCGATCGGAGCGACAGCGTTATAATAATAAGTATAATCATTATACCTATACTATATGTGTGCCAAGGTATCGCTATCAATGAAATTCGCACAGAAAACCTTTCGGCGAATTTCACGACTGTAAAAAAAAAACTTCGGCTGTCCTTGACTATAAAAGAAAACACGCGCTTAATAGTATACATTATTTCGGGCCCGAAAAATCTAAAATCGTGTTTACCATTATTATTATTCGGTCGAAAAAAAAATACGATTCAGAATAAATTATCAGTTTTTTTTTATACCTATGTCTATAACATAGCAGTGGCTTATAATTATTATAAAAACCGCGTATAAACACCACACGTGTACATAATGTACATGTTATATGTATAATATAATAATACGCGGCGATCAAGGCGGCAACTTCTACTTCTATTTAATCATTTGCGTTCTGTTTTCGTTCCGGAACATTTGGTGTTGACTGTCGAATAGTAATAAAAAAAAACCGCCGACGGGTAACCCGTGCGCGTTTTTATGGCGACTGAACGGATAAAATCAAACCTATTGTCTCCTCGGTCTCAATGTACGCGCGTGTATAATGCGTCGCCAATTATTATTACCTATAGCATACATACAAGTATATATAATATACAATTATGCTGCAGTGGTCGTATTATATTATACACTTAAAAAATATGCACCTATTTAACAATATCGGAAAACGGAGATTTATACGTGATGTCTATATATTATATTATAAATTCATAGAGACTCACGAGCGAATATTCTTTCAAAATTTAACATAATTCTTTCGAAGTTTAGAATTTTTATTTTTCACCAATACGTAAATAGTTATGAGACGTTAAGTTATTTTAATGAATTTCACTTTTCCATGCATGAATAATGCGTATTAACACTATATCAGTTTATTTTTGCCTTATAGCCATTTAGGTACTACTGTTACTTATTATATATTTACATTATATATATCGTAGTTACTATAAGTATAAATATATGGAACTTTTATAACTATTTAATAAGGTACCTACTTAAAAAAAGTAGTTCTGCAGTCGATAAATTTAATGATAATTCATTAAATTATGTTCAATTTTTTTCCAAACACCGGTTATTGGAAAGGAGTAGGTAATGTGAATTTACTTTTTGTTTTTTATTTTGATGATAATGATGATGATGATGATGATGATGCGCTGCACTGATGACTAAGTTGGCAATCCGCATAAAAAACGTACTATACATTTTTAATAATTCTTAGTTTTAATTAAATTCAAAAAATAATCCGTTAAGTTAAAATTATTTACATACAACGACAAGTAACACTAATTTTATAATTCATTATTATTTTATTCATGCTGAATACATTTTTTGTTAAATACAAAACATATTCCTTGACTTGATAATTTAGTTGATAATAAATGTGTTTACTTACGTATAAATATGTAGGTAATATGTATAAGTTACTATAGACATATATTAAAATGAGTAATAAGAAGGAAAATTTGCAAATATATGTTTTTAATAAAATGTTTAGTTACCTAGTAAAAAAAAATATTAAAAGCTGCACAGTAATCATCATTATGTGTATATTATAATAAATAATAATATATGTGGCCTAAATGGCAATTAAAAACAATTAATTCACTTATTTTTACAGAGCTAAGTCAGTTTATTTTCTCTATCATATACACTACACAGACTTCAAAATATTCGAGTAAAAAATATTTTTTGTCAACAATATATATTATATACCACTATTAACATAACCAATTCTA